ACACCAAACAGACACAGTGTCTGTAGGGCTGTGTTCTTTCCTGGAGTCTCCACAGAAGAATCCATATACTGTTTCACCTTCTAGAGGTGATTGACCTTTCTCCATCTTCAAAGCCAACTGTGGCCCTTCATGGTCATTATCTCCCTCTAATGCTGAACTTTGATGTTCTCATTTTAAAGGATTATTGTGGCCACATTGAGCCCATGTGAACAGTTCAAGCTGATCTCCCTACCTTGATCCTTGTTAACTGTGTTTGTTTTTAGTAGGCATGTAATGAGACTAAATTTTTGACATGTATGATAGCATCAGGCATGATTTAATATGTTCAAACTCTGTCTTAAAATCCATGACAGTGGATCATCTATATGTCATCATAAACATTTAAGAGCTCTTTCGTATCTAGTTAAGACCAGTCTAATCAGCCTGACCAAATTCCACATGAGAGTCTAGTGTATAAACACATGTATTTGTTAGAATGTATTATTAGGTAGTGGTAATACAGTAACCAAAACCAAGACCAAAAAATAAAAAGCTCTAATCTTTTTTAAAAATATTCTTTTTTTGTATGGGTGTATTGTTTGTATGTATGTAAGTGCATCCATGTCATCTGATGTCTGCAGAGGTCAAAAGATGTCATCACATCCCCTGGATATAGAGTTATGGATGGTTGTTAGTTGCTATGTGGGTCCTGGGAATCAAACCCTGGTCCTCTACAACAGTGGTCTTAATCGCTGAGCCATCTCTCCAGCCACAAAACTCTCATCTTTTAAAGCTTTCTATTTCGGATTCCTCTTAATGGGTTTAAGTGGCTAGAAGACATAAAATGAATTGCTTGAAAAGAACCGTCATCCCCGTTCATGTGAATCTCATCCAAACTGAACCTTCCAAGGTTGGTACCCTGTGTGAGGCAGGCAATGATTTACCTGTGTTTTGTTCTCTGAGATTTTTTTTTTAAAGTGAATTTGCAGAAAATCAGACTCCGAAGTAAAAAAAAAAAATCTATTAAATCCACCAATAAAACAGCTATATTTAAGACTACTGCTTCCTTTATTATAAAGGTGATAAACTCACCAGTAAGACAATTAAAATAGCACTGACATTACTAATTAAATAAACATTTATTAAATACCTTTTGCTTGGTTGTTTCCCTTGTTACCTCATTGCATCCTCATAACCCTGCAAGGTAGGTGTGACTTGCGAAATACCACAGAACTGGTAAATACTGGAAATCTGAATCAAATGTTTCTCACTTCAAATCTGTTTTTAACTGATATGGTAAAAGAATTTGATTGTGTTGTGATACAATTTTTATTTGGAAACAACAAAGTCCTACAGCTGGGTGTAGCTTAGTGGTAGAGCCCTTGCTTAGCATACCTGATTCAATCCCACACCAACCACAAAAAATGTTCTTTGGCAGAAAATATTTTAGAACTAGCATTTGAATACTTGTAGCTCTTTGAGTCTGACAGAAAAACAAAATATCGTTTAAGGATAAATAATCAAGCAGTACTTATATTAACGAAGGAAACCTAACTTAAGTTTGGGAAGTTTCAAAAAACCTGTCTATATAATCTTTACAATTTTCTGTTACAGGAGATGAGTATGATGTATGTGCTATTTGTTTGGATGAGTATGAAGATGGAGATAAGCTCAGGATCCTTCCTTGTTCCCATGGTATGAGTATAACATACTGCTTTGAGTTTACATATAATTCAAATATGGGTTCAATGTTATAGGGGAAGAGACAGCTAAGGTCTCTCCTAAGTATTGGTCTCTTTAAATGAAGGTGTATTATCTTAAAATGCACTAACTTCTCTTGGCCCTACATAAGTGTATAGGTCACAATCCTGAAATGTTAATGTTCTCAACTGTAGCATCTTAACTGAAGATACGTATTTTGCTTCAACAGCTTATCACTGCAAATGTGTAGATCCCTGGCTAACTAAAACCAAAAAAACCTGTCCAGTCTGCAAGCAAAAAGTTGTTCCTTCTCAAGGCGATTCAGACTCTGACACAGATAGCAGTCAAGAGGAAAATGAAGTGTCAGAACACACCCCTTTACTTCGACCTCTAGCCTCTGTCAGTACCCAGTCATTTGGGGCTTTATCAGAATCCCACTCACATCAGAACATGACAGAATCTTCTGACTATGAGGAAGACGACAATGAAGATACCGAAAGTAGTGACGTAGAAAACGAGATTAATGAACGTAGTGTTGTGGTCCAATTGCAGTCTAATGGCGAACAGGATTACAGCACAGCAAACACTGTGTGACGTCAGGTTTATTTCCCTTTAAAGTGTTTGTTTAGGTATAAGATTTGATTTTTCTCCTCCCTTTAGAGGCTTCTGTAGAAATAACTTATTTTTTAATTTTTCTAGTGTAATCAGGTTACTTTTTGATCTGTGGTACTTACCTCCAAGAGTGTACATCCGTTTTCACTAACAAGGTAACAGACTGGTGCTGTAACTCAGGCATCAAATTAGCTCTTTGAGAATAAACTATAGCCAAGACACTTTTTAAAAAATCCTCAATATAGCTTGAAATTAAGGTCTAGATCACAGTATGCAAATGTTCTGTCTTACACACAAAGCCAGTGCTATGGCCATCTAGCATAAGCTAAGCCGACTTTCACCCCCATGAGGTTGCCTAGAAGTGCTGGGTGGGAACGTGTTTGTTCTGGTAGTTGTCAGTGAGAGGCCACATGGTGGTTTAAGATTTTCTTCCTCTCACCACAGAGAAACTCAAAGGTGTCTTTCTCATTCCCATTCTCAGTAGTTTTATCTTGGTAGGAAGGTCTAGTGTAGGTTCAGAAGAGGTTTTTAAGGCTTTTAATGCTAGTGTTATGTATGAGTTTAATTCAATGGTAATGTCTCTGGACCTTCTTTTCATATTTCAGTATCCTTTTGTGTTATGATAAAAAAAGAAAATGCTGCATAAAAATACCAAATTTCAGCAACTGTTAATACTGAGATCATATACCTCTTAAAAAAGAGCATCTTATGCTAATTAGCCCTGCTAAACTGTGTACAGAGGAAATTGTTCAAGTATTGGATTTGAAAATAAGTGCTTTTGTTTAACAGAACTAATGTATTGAAACAATGTATTATGAAAAGCTAAATTATATTATACATTACTGTACTATGTAGAAAATATATATAATCAGTACGCTAAGAGTTTTTATACGGCCTTGTACGCGGGGAGCTTCAATGTTAATAAATGTTTTCCACTTTAAAAGCCACAATATATTTGTTCTACTGTACTCTTAACACCTTAGTCTTATGTGCAGGGTGATAGGGAAAATGGGCAAGATATAAATACACATCACTTTAGAATTTTATACGGGGTTACTGACTGCTTGCAGGCACTTAGGCTAAACCACCCAAAGTTAACACTACAGACAAAATCATTCCAAAAATAGTGTAAATTATGGCACATTCTTTACAGTAGATATATCTAATGACATGGAAACTGAATAAAATCATGCTGTATAGACTAAGTATACTAGGTGTATGAGCTTCTCATTATTTTTAAAATGTTGTATTTTAAAAGCAGTGTAACACCAGAAAGAGAAATTTAACTTCTGAGTTTTTTCTCTGTAAAAAGAAAATTATACTCAGGCTGGGCGTGGTGGTGCATGCCTTTATTCCCAGCACTCAAGAGGCTGAGGCAGGGCGGATTTCTATGAGTTCGAGGCCAGCCTGGTCTACATAGTGACCAGAGCTACAAAGAGAGACCTCTCTGTCTTAAAAGAATTTTTTTCCTCGGATTTTAACAAAAGGTATTTCCTATAGTGATAAAAAAGATGGTATTGGTACAGAACTGAACCTAGGCTTTCTTTAAGAGCAGACAGTGCCCTGAATTGTCAAGCCACCTCTCCAGCTTCTGTAAGATTTTTCTTTAATAAAGAGTTCAAACAGAGATGGTGGATAGCTGCTGCTCCTCTCAGAAGCCATGATTAGACAAAAATTCCTGTGCCAGGTGTGGAATCCCTCCCTACAAGTTGCTGGTCAGAAGTGCCTCAAAACAATACAGGCTATTGCTGTTGCTCTTGGTCCACCAGAACCTGATGGAAAGACCCTACTGCTCGACACAAACACATTTTGGTCACAGGATATAGAAATCAAGCTGGAGCTGAGTGGATTCTTAGCCCCTACTGGTTAGTTTCAGGTGCTATGCAGGCTGCTGGAGGAAAGTCAACAGTAGTGTTGCCTAGCTGTGGATGCTTTGCGCTGTAATAATGACCTGTCAATCAAGATGTGCCCGTGGGTGAAATAGTGGCATAACTTATGCAAATACCAATACTTTGATTGGATTTTAAGTCTCCTTTACAATAGGGAACTCATGCATGGTTTGTAAACCTGGTCATTGAATACCAACCACTTTCTGAATAGATTTGAAGTCTATACAAGACAGAACTCATGTCTGGTTCTGTAAACCTGGTCAAGAGCCAATGGCTGGGGAGGTCATAGGCCCTAGGGGGGAGCCTACTACTATGTTTTGCTAAATGGTCATGTCAAACTGGCTCCTAAATACCTATATTAGTGCTGCACCCATTAGAGAAGCTTTACTGCAGAGGATGGTGGTTAATGCAGGAACTCAAGAGTGATGGCTGGGTGCTCAGCCTTAAATGGGACAGCTGTATTACCCCTTCAAGGCTCAAAGAACATCATGGAAGAGAGGATAGAATGTCAGAGGATGGCAACATGTGCAGCAAAAAGATATCTTCTGGAGATGACAGCTGTTACATTCATGAACTCGCTGTAGCTGTGGTTACTGCACAAGACTGGACTTGCCAACATTTTATTATGGATGGGGAGAAGCCCATGAAGCCCCATCCCTCCCTCAGAGACTATTGGCAATTGAGTTGTTGGGGAAGGGGTGCAGTTTTCTTAAGTGGTGTAGCTACTAATAAGTTGCTCTTGCTTCTGTAAATAACCTCCCACTCAGGCTCAAGCAAGAAACTAAAATGAGAAAACAACCAGAAGACAAGCAGGGGTGCTTGCCGAGCTGTAAAAGGGGGAGGGCGATGAGACTGGAGAATGGCATGGAAATGACTCACGTTCCTCAGATCAATGTATGAACCTGTCAAACACTTAAATACAGAAAGCCAACCCAAGTTTTAATAGATTTAGTTTCAATGTCTGAGATCTCTAAAAGCAGCTGTGTTCGGTATACAGTCCATATACACAATATACTTGTGGCAGTCTGAAAATTTATTTAGAGCATTCAAGTCATCAGCCGAAAACGAATAAATGGGACAGAAAAATCATAGAGGCTATTTGGTCTCAAAACTCACATACCTAAAAGGTCTTGATCCAGTTCAATGTGTGGATCTAGTTGACAAAAATGACAAGAAGTGTTGTGGTTTATAGCCTGGAGAAGCTGACCAATCCATGTGCACCTCAGCTCTCAGAAGATTTATAGATACCATTTAACTGACACAGTAAGGCCAAGCCCATGTGACTTTCTCATAGTCCCTTCCTACTACTAGAAGGAACTATCCCATGAGTCTCCACATAGAGAACTGAAGGGCAGTGGCCGACTCGGCCAATCAAAACTACAAAGTATCAGAACCAGCTTCACGGACATTTTTAGGACGTACTAAAGCCCTCAGAATCTTTAAATTCCGCTATACAATGGTTCCTCTTCCAAATATTTTAAATATGGAAATTCTCCTCAAATTAGACCAAATTCCTAGACTCACATACTGATTGCTTTTCAAAATATATTTTCTCATTCAATAAATTATTTCCATCATAAATATGTACTAACCTTAGGTAATTTAGTATACACATAACCACAAGTAAGGAAGCAGAAGTCATAATCTTACTACACAGATTAAGCAATGGCAACACTAATATGCTATAAGATCCAAAATTTGTATAGATATGAAAGTACCAGAAACCATGTTATTTCCATTTTGGAAAATAAAAGGTTCTTCCAACACACACTAGATGGATGGCACTGCTCTCCCTACTCCTCTGAGATGAAGCAAAGGCCTGAGAAACTGACATCAATTTACCAGTTTAAGTAGAGGTTTAAATGTGACATAATTGTATGGCCCTAACTTTTAAACCTAATAGGTCATTTGCATAATTTCAGTAAACCTAAGGTAAAACTTAAAGGTTAAAAACACTAAGCTCCATGTCTACCACCAATAAATGCATAGTAGGTTTTAAAATAATAGAATTAAAACATCCCTAAAGTGGGATATTTTAAAAGAAGTTCAAAGTCACTGTATGTCTGTAGGTATGAATTATGAATTCTTTTAGTTCTCAATCCACAGTTCAGTTTGAGGACTTGGTTCCTTACATTTAAATTAAGAGTTCTTCTGGATCAAAAATTACTTTTGTTGAAATTACAAATTGGTACTTTTAGCTCCAAAAATACATCTTTTAACAGAAGTGGCACTTGTTTGTAACACTCAAAAATCTACAATTTCATGATAGTTTGTCAACTTTTCAGTATATATTTTTATTGAATTTTTGTGCATTTCACACAATAAGCTATTAAGCTTTTTGACTATGGCATTAAATAAAATCCATTTTCTACTAAAAGAACGTATTTAAAATTCTAATAAAAAACAATGTAAAACACTGGAAATCAAAATAGTCACCTGGAAGCTTAGCCCAGAGACTACGGTACCTGGGCCTACTGCCGTAAAAAGTTCAAGTGTAAACTATAAATACATACCACTTACACCCTTTAACATTATTGATTAGCATTTTCTTTTAATCAATGTTCTAAGACACTTTTGTTCAATGGACACACTTATTCAGCCTATTTTCCTTATTGTTGAGTATACAAAGTTTTCCAAGTTTGGTTATCAGAAGTACTACTGTGTAATGCACATTTTGGTATATTTTGGTACATTTCCTGGAGTGTTTTCCTACTGAAATTGTGGGCAGAAGTCAATGCCTAGCCTTGCTTTTACTGCTTTAGTGACAGTCACCTACCATCTTCCACTTTATACCCACACGCTCAGCACACACCCCCCCCTTAACTTACAGGTACAGTAGAGAAGGGTTCCCTATTTGGTTTATTATAACTAATGTGTGAATGAACATTACTGCAAAAATCTCCTATCACAACATACTTACTGAATTTCTACTTGCCCAACTTTATTCTTAACAAGAATCCAAGATAAGGAGCCAATACCAGTTTTTTACTGATTTACACAAATTTCTATCTGCCACACATTTTTACATCCCATATGTATAAATTCAAAACCAATGCCTAACAACTAATCAAAGAAAAACATTCGTACGTACAGTATATTTTAAATATGGAAACGACTGAGTCCTGTTCACTAACCCACTCTTTCTAAAGGGTAACATGAGGTCACTCACCACAAACCTTATTACTAAAAACTGCTTTTTTAGGCAGAGCATGGTGGCACAAACCTTTAATCCCAGGCCTGGTCTACATACTGACTTCTAGACCAGTCAGGGCTACATAGCTAGACCCTGTGTCATAAACAATCAAGAAAAACAAACTGATTTCCTGGCCATTGGAATCTTCCATGTTTGGCAGAACGTAACAGTCCATTAGTGCATTAAAACCAGCACCCCAGTTTCACTGAGACCCACTAACTTTTTTTTTTAATGCTTTTTTTTTTTTTTTCATTTTTTTTTTCTCATTGCAGCTGGTTTGTTTGTTTGTTTGAAGCAGGGTCTCCCTGTAGCCCCAACTGTCCTGGAACTCACTATGTAGACCAGGCTGGCCTTGAACTCACAGAGATCCGCCTGCCTCTGCCTCCCAAGTGCTGGGACTACAGGCATGCGCCACCACGCCCGGCTGAGACCCACTAACTTTTTGAGCACCCTACTACTCTAAGTTCCTGATAGATAATTTGTGGTATTGATTTTTGTAAATACTCCTAAACATTTACTAAATTAAGAAGCTCTAGGATTAAAAATATTTAGCTGTGGTCAACATGTTACTCCAAAAGCCAGAAAATGCAAAAATATCCCACTTCTCTTAAATGCTATGCACAGAATGGCTACTGCTCTTATGGGGTAGCCTCGGCTGGCAGGCTGACTCAGCCAGCCAACAAAGACTCCAAATCTAAAGGCAATGATAGTTCACTCGGAGGAACGACAACAATGGATTCCAGAGAAACCCTTGGTACTGAGGCCTCTTACGGCTTAGGAGATTGATTTCACATCAAGAGACCAGCAAAGAAACACGTATTTCCTACCAGGTAAGTTGGTTTTCTTCATATAAACCTAAAGATGATTGTGAAATGACCAAAAGCCATTATTTAATAAGCTAAAACAAGAAAAAGAACTTTTTGGGTACTTAATTCTATGCTTGCAGCAGACTTTGCTCTATCCTCTGTATGCCACTCCAATCAGCCACAGCTGGGTGTGATGGCACACATGATCTCACCACCAGGGAGGGGTAGGCAGGAGGACTGGGAGTCTGAGGCCAACATGAGCTACACAGCAGGATCCTGTCTTTAAAACAAACAAACAAAAAACACCTCTAACAGTAAAGTCAACAATTTACAATTTATATAAACAACAGGAGTCTAGAGTATTTGGTTGGAATAAATTTATTTCATCTGTCTGTAAACAAGGTGTTTAATAGTTATGGCATTTTTTTAAATGCATATTAAATCAGATGAGTTAGACTGTATCCCAGATGTAACAAAGTGCAGGGAAAGAAATGGACAAATCAGCAACAAGATTTGTTTTTAAATCTGTACATTATCCACAATGCCCAAACAATAGAAGCAAATACTAGAATGTCCCTAAAGTAGTGCCATTCGAAAGAAAATCCATCTCACAATAGCAACAGTTCAGTTTAACAATAGTATGGCACAGAATACATATGAAAAAAATTCATCACAAGACAGCCAAGTCCACAATAATGCAACTTCATATAAAAACCTAAGCTGCAAATAAAAATTGGTCCTATGAAGAATAAACTGGACACACTCCAGATGGTTATTTGGGTACCTATGTCCATAATGGCAGCCGTTTACAATTTTACTAAAGAGTAGAGCTGGTGTGCAAAGAAAAAGATAGGAAGTCCGAGCTACTGCCATGGTGGAATGTTCCTGGGGATTTGATTAGTACGGTCACCACAATGTCATGGGAGGAAGTGCTTTTTGCTTCGTTTACAGTTGCACTCTTCATATGTCCTGTAGACACTACAAAAACGTTTATCTCAAGTGCAACCACAGTATTAAAAGCAAGTTACCGCAGCTCTCAATAGCTCATCAACAAAAGAGGTATTAACTGGGTTAAGTAAACCAGGCACTGCACAAAAGAGAATGGAAGCAAACCAAATACCTTATGTGCAAAGGGAGGGGGTGAGAAGAGTGAAGTAAAGATGCATGCACTTTTTCCTCCCAACCATGCGCTACAAAAGGAAGACTAAATGAGCCAAGTAAATGCTCAAAGTGCTGAAAAGACATTGATCAAATTAGAGATTGTACAACCGGCACCTTGCTCAATATTAACTTATTTTAGTAATCAATATCCCATTAATTGCTAAGACAAAGTGATGCCCAACTTGGCATGCCCCCTCCCCCCAATTTCAAGGTATCATGCAAATCATTATTGTGCTGCAATTATGATGCCAGATAAAGGTTGGTTACATACAGTGGTTAACATACAAATGATAATTTGGGCAAACAGGAATCATGACATTAGAAAATAGATAAAGAAGTAGCTACCATCTACAGTCTGGTAGCACTGTGACCATAATTGGGGTAGTGATGAAGACAGTTGCTAGGTAGATGGGGAGAGGCTGCTTACACATCAGACCTCCTCAGGTATAAAGCGAGTTCATATGCTTTCTTGTTAAGTGTGCCTCCGTGGACACCTTCCTTTCCCATGACTATAACCAATGCTGGAGTACACAAGGAAACAAAACAAAGTGAACAAATTATTTAAGGGGGGGAGGGGCAGAAAGAGACACCTTTCCCCACCAGCAGAGGGATACAAAGGAGACACAGGTTCATATCCCATCACCCTGCATTGCTAATAAAATTTCCAGAATTAAGACTTAAGCTTACAGCTAGGAAAATTTAAGAGCAATTTTCTCCTAATACTTAACAGTCTGCCTAGCAGCTAGAACCCAGAGTCTCTCAAGTATTTTGCCATTGAGTATGCCTTCTTATTCAATCCGCCTCCATGGACCCCTTCTTTTCCCATTACAAAGACCAAGACTGAAAGAAAAAGAAGAAAAGTGTTTCAAAAGAAGTGTTAATCAAGAAAGTCACATAAAGTTCAGCAGATAGAACCGCGATTAATAAGTTAACATTAAGTTAGTTTTCCATGAACTGTCAAGCACTGAGGTCCATGAGGTCTCCAGGATGGAGAACTTTCAAACTAGTAATGTATCGGATGCTGCTACAAACAAAGGTCAGTAACTACTGACGGCATCTGGGAAGTCCCACCATGCAGCACAGGCTCTATAAAACTTTTTACAAGAGCAGGGAAAAAAAGTGATAGTTTATCTTCCATTTTAGGGCAAAACATTCTGGTTGCACCCAAAATATAAACCTAAAAAAACTTGGATACTTTTCATTTACAAATTCTCCCCAAATCTAACATGCTTGGTAAGTATAAGCTATTGTCTTAACAGTGTGAATATGAATATGAACAAACATGTCTATTACTTCCAGAAGAAAATGAAAATCCAATTTTAAACAAATTTCACTGCTACTCAAAACACACTAAATTAAAACTATTTGTATTATACATAGATACTTCCCTTTGCTAATCTTGTTTTTCAGCCTAGAATCATAGACTATGTTTACTATTTCCAGCATCCTATGCTGGAATTCAAAGGTCATCTTCAAACACATGCACAGGTGTATGTGAAATATATTCACTGCCACTAGATGTCAGTAGTGTTCTATGGTATGAAAATCTTTGGCTTCGTATCCTGTGCTTGATGTTTTTTAAAAGTATCTGTATCAGAGAATGGACAATACTCAGATTTGTCTATTTTAACGTCAGCTCATTTCCTTACAGATACCCATAAACAAATCACACCTGAATAGAAGCAGCCCTCAGACAATCACAGGGAGCTGGTAGAACCAGAGCATTGAATCATAGCTCAATGAAGGTTTACCCTCACACTGTAGGGCTGTTCTATGCGCCAACTCTGCCAAACAAGGAGTTACACAGGCTAATACATTTAAATGCATGTATACATCAATGAGATGCCATAAGCCTCAAATCTCAACAACTTCTTTAGAGCATACTGCCTGCATGTATGTAGTGCACTGGTATCATGCAATGACTGTGGATGACAGAAGAGGGCATTGGACTGATTCCCTGAACTGGAGTTACAGATGGTTATTAACAGCCATGTGGGTGCTGGGAACTGAATCTTGCAGTCTACAAGAGCAGCCAATGCTCTTAACCACTCAGCCATCTCTCCAGCCCCAGAAAGATTTCTTTGTGTCATGTGGACACCAGAATTTTTGTGCCCAGTCTGGAGATCGGTACCAGTTTCTGCCAACAGGCATGTAAACTAAATGTGGTTTCCTACTTTTCAAATTGAAATCTCAGGCAGTCTCTAAAGTACTTCATTAAATGGAGAACTTTCTTAAAGTTCTAAAGTTCTAAATCCCTCATCTATTTCTCTCTTCCCTAGAAGTGCTCCTTGTAGAAAAGTGAACCAATGTGATTTTTTTAATGATGAGCAGTGCTATGATTTCAAATCCAAGCAAGAAAAAAAATGACCCAAAAGTAAATACTCATCAGAGACTAAGCAAATGACTTGAACAATTTAACTATCTTATGTACCACACGTTTAATTAACACGCCAAGTCATTTAAGAGGCAACTTTTCATCTTAAGGTTACTAAAGATTGTGTTGACATTAGTGTTTCAGAGTAAGTCAGGGTGAGAGAGGCCAGGGTGCATGTGCAGTAACCCAGAGCAGTGCCTTCCTTCAGTGCTGAGCAGTTCATGAAGACCACCTTAATAGCCATTATGGACTAATTTTTATTCAAAAATCTTAAACTGCTTATTAAGTTGTAATACGGAATGCAACATTTAGCCACAAAAATATCTTGCTTACCTCTACCAGCTCTGCCAACAGCAACATTGTAAGTGGGCTCTCCACCTTGACTCTTTGTCCGGATATCCATCGTGCAGTCACCATCAACGTATAGACTATCTCTGATCACTGAACACTTCTTTGCGCCAAGAGTCAAACCGTTGGTAAAGAAACCTTCCCGGTCTTTTCCTACAATCATATCTATTTCTACTGGCTGTCCACCCAAAACAAAGAGGAACAAAGTTGTAGTTAATTCCTTTCAGAGTTTGATACAACAGAAAGACTGTGTTGGTGTAAAATCAAGACTCAGCCCTTTTTGTTATTGACTATTCCTACATGATGACATGTTTTACATCAGAACCAGTGTACACAAAACTCTCTCTAAATAGTTGGCCACTAGACAAATTGAAAACGAGTTATTTATAAACTGTATCAAGTCAGGTGGTGCTTGAAGGTGCTTATGTAATGGTAAAGACTGGGCTGTAAATTCTTCCAACAGCTTGCCTATCATATTCAGTCACATTAGTCATGATGCATCAAATTTAAAGTTGGGTGAAAGTCTCCCCCAGATAAACATACTTCTCTGCATGGAGTAGCCTGAAATACCCCTGGCTGTATGAACGTCAATCCCTAAACTACAGGGCATCTCCAAATTCGTATTTCCCTCCTATTTTCCTAGTCACTACTCTCTAACTTGCCTTTCCCTTTCATTCAGTCATCAGTTTTCTTTCTGGACTAAGGTAGAGTGGACTGTGTCTACAGCACTGCATCAGGGCAGTGGTAAAAGGTTCGAGAAAATGGAGGGGCACTGATAAAGAAACTGAGGTAGCCACCAGGACCAGAAAGGAGAAAACGTGCATTCTAACATTCCATGAATGAGAAGGAAGGCGTCGCCCCCATCAGAACTGCAGAGTCATAGCAGGCCCCAGCCATTTCCAAGCACACTCCCGCAATCTTCTTAGCAGACAGCGGGAACTCACACACAAAGGCAAGGGGACTGCAGAAAAAAAGTTGATCAGCAAACGTCAATTGGCTGTAGGAATTGCAGTCTCCTGAACAGGCACAGGAGATCTTTCAGTCCTATCAAGGACTGGATCTACAGACATGCCAAACCATGTTGAGCAGTAAAATAGGACTTCAATTTTGGAATCTGAAGGGAAGACAGTGTGGGGCTTAAAAATAATAAAGGGAATGGTCTTGTATTTGATACCGGTGTCACAATTTTAAGGAAGAGCTTTGGGTAGAGATGGGCAAAATAACAAGCAGTGCTACAAGCTTACTGACAATATTCTTCAAACATGTGGCAACCAAGTCAAAGCCATCAAGTCACTAGAAAATCAGGCAACGTGAGGCATAAATCTGCATTCGTTCCTTCACTACCATCACTAAAGAGGGAGTGACTTGGTAAGTGTCACCCCCCCCAGCTCCCCCGGCATAATTTTTTAAAGCCCCCTAAAATCATCCCCCTTTGGGGGGTATGTTGCGTAACTGGGGATAACGGTGTATCGATGAATCTCTATAGGTGGAGGAAAGAAATCAATGGCAGTTCGCCATCTTGGAGAATTAACAAAAAAAAAAAAAAAAAACTATCGAGCCAGAGCCGAAGTAGAGATTCACGAATCCACGTACGCGGTCCGCGTACATCGCTCGCCAGCCCGGGAGGCCTGGACACCGGCAAGCCTACGCAAAGTCACTCCGAGAATCCGGGGGGCCAAGCCGCCGCCGCCTCCCACAGCCCGCGCTCCCCGTCGAGCCGGGGCCCACACCCGGGGAACCACACGGAGGTCAGCCGGGACCCCGGAGAAGCCCCTCCCCCGCCCGGCCCGCCGCAAGCCCGGCTCGGGAGTCCGGCCGCCCCGCCCCCGTCCGCGGGCGGCATCCCGGGACTCACGGCGGGCGGCACCCCGGCCCCGGCCTCCATTCCTAACGCGGCTGCGGCCCCCCGGCAGCCACACACCTGCCCGCTCGCCGCCCCCGGCCCGCCGTCCCGGCCGCCTCCGGCCCTCACCGTGATGCTCTGGAAGACGCCCCCGGCCGTGGCTGCCCAGACATATTTGGCGTCGCAGTAGCCGACAATGGCGGCCTCCTGGCAGCAGCCATCGCACATCAGGTTATCCACGTAGCTCTGCCACCCGGCCATCTTCGAGACCTTCGCACTGCAGCGGGGACGGCAGGAGCAGAGGCGCAGCGGCGGCGGCGGCGGCGGAGGCGGGGCGGGGGCGGGGAGGAGGCGGCTCTGCGCAGGCACCGACCGCCCCTCTCCGGGGAGCTGCGAC